TCAGGGTTACATAGCTTGTAATTGGAGTTGGGATTTGACCCTGGTGATGTGACTCTGTGATCTCTATTGCTGGTGTAGTCTATAATATGGATTCACTATTTTCAAAATTAATTATGTGTTTATCGAGCATTTAATTATGCCAGACATTTTATTTGGTCTTGGGAATTCATATATGGATAAAGAGACAATCTATGCTTCAAGATCCGTGCTCTTGTGAAGTTACTTCCTTTTTCTTTTTTTCAATCCTCACCTGAGGATATTTTTCTATTGATTTCTTAGAGAAAGAAGGAAAGACAGAGAGGAATATCGATGTGAGAGAAACACATTTTGATTGGTTGCCTCCTGCATGTTGCCCTGACTAGGGCCTGGACCAGGGAGGATCCTGCAACCGAGGTACGTGCCCTTGACCTGTTGAACCCGGGACCCTTTGGTCCGAAGTTTGTCCCTCTATCCACTGAGCCAAACCGGCTAGGACTGAAGTTATTTTCTAATGGAGCGTCAGAGTAGATAACAAATAAGTGACAAACAAGATAACTCCAAATGGTTGTAAGTGCTCTGAGGATTATGTGATAAAGAGGCTGTTACTTTAAGTAGGGTGGTTATGAAATGCCTCCTAGGAGGTGATATTTGAACCAAGACCTGAATAATGAAGACCTAACACTTTAGCTAGTATGAAGATTTGGAAGCAGACGTGTCAGGTAGAGGGAGAAGCAAGTTCCAGTTGGTGCTAGTGAGCTAAGCATGTGTTGGGACCAAAAAGAAGGCCAATGTGACTGAATTATAGCAAGCAGGTGAAAAGTAGTACCATTTGAGGTTAGGAAGTTTGGCAGAGTCAGATCTGTAAGGACTTGTAGATGCTGCTAAACATGTTGAATTTTATTGATTGTACAATAAAAGATTTTGGAAGGCTTTAAAAATAAAAGTGAGCAGATTTGCATTTTAAAAATGATCTTTCTGGCTGTTTTCAGGAATTGGATTGGGGGGCATTCAAGGAGAGCAATTAGACTTTTGCAGCAGTCCAGATGAGAAATGATAGTGTTATAGTTGGGAGTGGGGGTAGATGAATTTAGAATGTGTTTTTTTAAAAAAATATATTTTATTTAATTTTTACAGAGAGGAAGGGAGATGGATAGAAAGTTAGAAACATCAATGAGAGAGAAACATCGATCAGCTGCCTCCTGCATACTCCCCACTGGGGATGTGCCCGCAACAAGGTACATGCCCTTGACCAGAATCAAACCTGGGACCCTTGAGTCCGCAGGCCGACACTCTATCCACCTAGCCAAACTGGCAGGGCTAGAATGTGTTTTAAAGTAGAGTCTACAGGACTTGCTGGTGGATTGGACATGGATGTAAGAGAAAGAAAATAATTAAGTTCAACTTTCAGGTTTTTTGGATTTGTTTTGCTCTGATTTGATAATTGGCAACAGCATGGTTGATGGTATCTCTTGCTGAAACAGGAATGACCAGGGAAGAAATTTGGAGGGGGAGGGAGGAAATATAAAAAATTTTATTTGGCCACATTAAGTTTGAGATGTTGCTATTTAAATGTCTAAGTGGTGGTGTTAATTAGATAAGTGAAAATGTGAATTTAGAACTCAGGGGAGATGTCTGAACATTGTTCTGGGATTCTGAAGATCTGATATATTTTTTTTTTTAAATATATTTTATTGATTTTTTACAGAGAGGAAGGGAGAGAGATAGAGAGTTAGAAACATCGATGAGAGAGAAACATCGATCAGCTGCCTCCTGCACATCTCCTACTGGGGATATGCCCGCAACCCAGGTACATGCCCTTGACCGGAATCGAACCTGGGACCCTTCAGTCCGCAGGCCGACGCTCTATCCACTGAGCCAAACCGGTTTCGGCTGAAGATCTGATATTTTATCCTAGTTCTATCGCACAGGTGTTAGGCACTGTTAGGCAAGTCAGTAAGGCATTGCAAGCTGCAATATTGTCAGCTTAAAATATTAATAAAGTTATTTGTTATGCCAATCTCATGTCTGTGGGGGAGAATTCTGTTCACTCATTTATTCATTGATCAAACATACTCTGAGCATTTACCAGGCACTGTTTTAGCTGTGAAGGATAATGAAGACATAGGCCCGGTCCTCAGGCTGCTCATAGTCTAGTGGAAGGGTTAGTCATTTACTAGTAAACAGATGTAACAACTACTGTAATACAGAGAAGCACAGAGATATCTGGGAGCACAGAAAATGGTGGGCAAGGGATCAGGAAAGGCTTCCCAGAAGTGGCACTTTAGCTGGTATGAAAGATGACTAGAAAGTAACCAACTAAAGAAGGAAGGGAAGGGTCCTCTTGGCCGAGGAACAACATGTGCAAGGTGGGAGGTGAGAGGGAGAGAATGGCATTGCCAGGGAACTGTGTGTAGTTTAGTATTACTGGAGCATCAGAGTAGAAGGTGGGGAGTAATCGGAAAGTAGGGAGACTGGAAAGGGAGGCTTGTGTGAGATCACGTGAGGCCTTATATGCTGTGCTAAGGAGTCTGGATTTTTATCTGTAATGGATGATTAGCTATGGAAGAGCTTTAGGTGAGTGACATGGATCAGGTTTGCTTTAGAAAGATCACTCTGGGTACAGAACTGGAGAAGAAATTAAAGAGCAGGGAAGACTTGCCTTAACCCTTTGAGTGCCAACCAATATCCTAGGAACTATGCTAAAATTGCCAAGGCATTTTTGCTGATTTTATAGCAGTTTAGGAAAAAAGTTATGAATCGCAGGTAAATGAAGTTACATATTCAAAAACTTAAGGAAACCTTTACTACATTGACGTATTTAGCAATATCATCACCACTAGTAAAAGCAGACTTAGAACTGGACGCCATTTCGAAGCTTTGAAAGCGCTCCCGGCACTTTTGGCGAAAGACAGGAGGAGCGTGATTGCGCTCCCCGGCACTCTAAGGGGTTAATCCAGGTAAGGGGCTTCCAGATTTATCTACTTCCAGAGTGCATGTACTTTCTGGTATATTATACATAGTACAGGGGAGCATATGTTAAGTGCCAGAGGAGTTGCGGGGCAGAGGAAGGTAAAACTGGAAAGGCAGTCTGGGATCAGATTGTGGTCAGGTGTGGTCACAAGAGCTCACTTTCAGTGTTCTTGTTGAGAGCACTGTGTAGCCTGCTGAGGAGTTCTGACTTTCTTTTATAGGCAGCATTGGGACACCACAAAATTTTGAACTTGGGTGACACAGTGACTGGCTAAGAAGGGCATGAGGTTGAAGGCCTCATTTGTAACGAGTAATTAAAAGGAAGGAAAAGATGGAAGAGACATTTCCTTCCACACTGACCTAGGCCTTCTGGTGCAACCACCTGTGTTCTTCATTCTCCCCAAAGCGTCCTTTAGTCCTAGTTGTATGCTGTGTTAAGTTTGGAAAGTATTTATTATTGTTATTAATGATCATGTAGGGCAGAGATTCTCAACCTGTGGGTCGCGCCCCTTTCACAGGGGTTGCCTAAGACCATCGGAAAACACATATATAATTACATATTGTTTTTGTGATTAATCACTAAGCTTTAATTATGTTCAATTTGTAACAATGAAAATACATCCTGCATATCAGATATTTACATTACGATTCATAGCAGTAGCAAAATTACATTCCTTTGTGAGAGATTCTCCAACTTTATTCATTCACACATCCATTTGACACTGTATCCCTGTCTAGAGCTTAACATCTGATCAGTTAACAGTTGTCAAATGGATGTGTGAATGAATAAAGTTGGAGAATGTCTTACAAAGGAATTTATATTTGAGCGGCATTTTAAAGAGTGAATAGAAATGAACTAGACAGTGAAGGTGAGGAAAGAATTCTAGCGGGAGAAGACAGTAGCAGCTTTTAGTAGAAGCAGTGAGGGGATAAAAGGGAAGACTGGTAAGTGGTTCAGTGTGGCTAGAGTGTAAGCCATTTGGTGGGAAGTGGTGAGGTAAGTAGCTTGTTGGACCAAATTATGAAGTACCTTCCATGTCATGCAAAGGAGTTTGGACTTTAAGCTGAAGGTAATAGAAGGTTATCAGAATTGGTCAAGGATACAGTCAGATGTGTCTGATAAAGATCATTGTGGCTGCTCCTATATTATGAATCTGTTCTGGCAAGATCAGAGTTAGCGAGATCACCTTGAAAGTCACTGCATTTGTCTAGGAGAGAGCAAGGATAAAGTCTGTACTAAGGAGGTGTGGCAATGAAAAATTTAAGAGAGATTTCCTAGGTGAGTAAATGTGATCAGCACCTGAATAGTCCAGATTAGGACTTCATAGAAAGGATAATTCTGTTCTGAAAGGGTTTCTGGAAGAGGTCACATCTGGATTGGGTCTTATGGATGGGTAGAAAAGTGTAGAATGTATAGGAAGCTGGTATGCATATAGGGAAGAGTGAGGGAAGAGGACCAGGTGGAGAGGAAGCCAGTCTGAGAAATAACAAGCCAGTCTGATGGTAGGAGGGGTGGGGTGGGGGGCAGACAGCAGCCACAGCAGTTATTACAGCTAGTATCTACTTGCACTTCACTGCCCAGAGTGTGCTGTCCATGTTAGGCCTTTCTGTTTGGCTAAGCATAATCCCCAGATGATTTATGAGTTCTGAAAAGTGAGGTAGGTAGTTCTACTTCGATTTGTTGGCCTTGAATTCTTGGCAAGTCTAAGGAGTTGGAGAAAAAATGTGAATGAGAGGAGAACGGGGAGCCACAAATATGGGTAGCTTGTGAACCTTTGGACTTCACTTGTTATTCTAATTATGCAGCAGATCACTGTATCTGTCCACAAGATAGAGGCAGTCAGCCTGGTTGTTGTGCTGTATTCATACCAGGTTTAGAAGCTAGCTAATCTCTCCTTTCTCTGTGCTTACACAGCATTTTGTTTATATGTTAGTGTTATCCTTATCGTATCATATTATGGTTAATAGCCTGCCCCTCCTCCTCTGACTGTGAATACCTCAAGAGCAAAGGTTGGGCTTAGTCATCTCTAATGTTTTGTGAAAGAATGAGGTCTTTAGCTGCAAAGTTGATCAGTCTTTAACTTTTGGAAGGATCAACTGAGACCTCTGAAATGCTAGGTTGCCCTGGTGGATGGGGTTCCAGAGTTTAGGTCCCTTTGCAGTTATTTTTATTGATTTCAGAGAGGAAGGCAGAGGGAGAGAGAGATAGAAACATCAATGATGAGAGAGAATCGATCTATCTCCCGCACACCCCCCTACTGGGGATTGAGCCCACAACTCAGGAATGTGCACTTGACTGAAATCGACCCTTCAGTCCACAGGCTGTGGCTCTATCCACTGAGCCAAACCATCTAGGGCGACCCATGGCCTATTTAAAACCTCTGCAGTAGGCTGAGCAGGGGCCTTACCATGATGGTGTTACCTGATAATGAGGATGGCTCTCCTCATGTTGGGGTAATCGGAACTGCAGCAAAGTAAAGACACACCCATGGAGCCTGCAAAGGGTTTCCATGCACACGATGCAATTTACTTCCTGTGGCAGCTGAAGAGGGTGAGCAGAGTCTTGGAAGGACATGAGGGCTCCAAAACCAGGGGCTGGAGGGAAAGTGTGCCCCGAGCATTCCTCGCTGTGAGTTACAATCTCTCTATATAAAAGCCTAATATGCTAAGTGTCTGAGCGGTCAACTGACCAGTCGCTATGACATGCACTGACCACTAGGGGGAAGATGCTCTGACCGGTAGGTTAGCTTGCTGCTGGGGTCCTGCTGATCGGGACTGGGTGAGACAGGGCTGGACATGCCCTGGAGCCCTCCCGAGGTCCCTCCAGGCCACCGGCCCCGATCGGGACTGGGAGAGATGGCCCTGATCAGCCCCAATCGCCAGCCAGGCGGAGGGACCCACCCCATTCTCAATTGTTTGTATGCTTTGTAACTTCATGGTTACGTTAGTCCTTTTCCTGGAACATATTTCTCTAACTTCCTCATTGAGGTAGTATTTCACATCTCACCTCCAGGAAGTTTTCACTAATCTGTCACGCCATAGGTTGGATGAGAAGTCCCCCCCCCTCCCCCCCGCTTTTTTTTCTTACATAGCAAGTCTTTGATATCTAATAAAGAAATATTATGTTTTTATCTCATAGGTTGTGAGAATCTTGGGAATTAGGTTCATTCTTTTGTCCTTATTGCCTAGCACAGACATGCAAAACAATGGCAATCATAGACATGAGCCAGAGTTACTGGTTAGTTCTAGAAGGGAGAGATCAGTGGGGAGGAGAGTACTAGGGAAGGCTTCATAAAAATTGACACTTAAAGCTTCCTGTAATTCCTTGGTGGATATTGATGAATGTGTAAGCACCTTATTTTGGGCAGGGACAGCCTAAGACAGTAATGGATTTTTTTGGTGGTGTCTTTCTACAGGTTGATATGTCACACCTCTCCCCAGAGGAGCAATGGAGGTAAGTGTGATAGTGTGGGCCCCTCAGGCTGGGGACTATCGGGTAATCCAACTAATAGAGTTCTATTCTTTTTGCTTCCTTGTCTGTGGGAGACAGTGACTCATGACCAGTAGGCTAGGTCTTTGGGATTTTTTTCCAGTACATGGGTCACTTCTGGGTAGCTCCCTTGGTCCTGGGAAGCAAATGCATAATTGTACCAAACTATCCACCTAGGTTTTAATACTAGTTGTACCATTTCCTAGCTATGTGATTTTGCGCAGGTTACTTAACTTGCCTTAGTTTTTTTTCATTTGTCAGGTGTGGATCAAAATAGTACCTGTACCTCATAGAGTTGTGAGGATTAATATATGTGAAATTCTTAGAATAGTGCCTGGCATGTGGTAAACTCCAGTGTTGCCTACTTTGAAGATGATTATCATCATTAACATTATCATCATTATACATGAAATAGGGTAGAGGGTTCTGATTGAGAAAATGGGAGATCTCAACTTGCTGGTAACTTGCTGTGTAACCAGAGTGGGCCAGCAAATATCTTATTGTCGTGATTTCTAATTAGTAAAGGAGTTTCAGAGTGATTGTCCCACAACTTCACAAGATGGCTGACCAGTGAGAAGTCAACCAAATAAAACCTAATAATGAGAAAAATCCTTTTAGATTAAAACTATTGATTGTAAAATATAGAATGGCAAAGATATTAATGCATACGACACACCCAACAAGATTTTAGATGACTTTAAACTTAATATACACCAGTTGTGTACCTCAGCTACTGAAATAATTCACATGATTTGGAAGATGTTCATAGAAATATGTTATCAGCCTTAAGGTAGGGACAGTGCCATTGTGCCCTGCTACACTGAGGCCACACTGGATGTTGTAGACACTACAGTATAAGAAGATCTTTGGCTAGATAATGTCTCAAAGAAGGCAATCAGGATTAATGGTCTTCACATTATGTTATATGAATAGTATTTACAAGATCTAGAACTAAAAGTAAATAAAAGAAATAAATACCTAGAACTAAAAAGGCCAATAAAATGGTGATAGGAACAAGATAGTTTTTGGTTTTGTTTTTGTTTTTAAAAAATAAGATCATGAGCAATCTTTGAAGGGGCAGCATTGGAAAAGAGGAGTGGATATGTCCTTTATTGTTCCAGAGTATAGGTTTAGATCCTGGAGCTATAGAAAGATAGATTTTGTATCATTATCTAATTATTGAAGAAATATCTTTAATAATTATGGTATATTAAGAGGTAGAGAACCTCCTGCGGCTCCCCCCCCCCCCCATATATATCTTTTTATTGATTTCAGAGAGGAAGGGGTAGGAAGAGAGAGAAACATCAATGATGAGAGAGAATCACTGATGGCTGCTTCCTGCACACCCCCTACTGGGGTTCGAGCCCGCAACCCGGGCATGTGCCCTTGACCGGAATTGAACCCTGGACCATTCAGTCCACAGGCCGACACTCTATCCACTAAGCCAAACTAGCTCGGGCCCTCCTACCTCTTAAAGCATTGGAGTCTTAGTCCTTCATAAGCACATATGAGTACCTACAATGTGTCAGACACTGCTGGTTCTAGAATAGATAACGTTAAGGGGCATGTGTTCTTTTTTTTTAAGAAAATATATTTTTATTTCACAGAGGAAGGGAGAGGGAGAGATAGAAACATCAATGATGAGAGAGAATCATTGATTGGCTGCCTCCTGCACTCCCCCAACTGGGGATCAAGCCCACAACCAGGGCATGTGCCCTTGACTGGAATCAAATCTGGGACCCTTCAGTCCACAGGCGGATGCTCTATCCACTGAGCCAAACCAGTCAGGACAAGGCATATGTTCTTAAGCCAGTGGAAGTATTTCATACAAAGGATATCAAAAATAATTTTTCCATTGAGTGGGAACTTGAAATAGATGTCTTCTTTGGTCTTTTCTATATTCTTTCATTGTTGTGCACATCCATTCAGTTATATACTGTCTGAGAACAAGAAGTGTATTTCTTATCTATAATTCCCCACAGTTCTAAGGCTTTTAAAGTGTTACTTGTCCTTTTAGTTTAGCTTATTCTCACAATAAGCCTATGAGGGAGATGGAAAAGATATGGACTCCCTTTGACAGATGAAGAAATTGTGATGTAGAGTTGTTAACTTTCTTGGTCAAGGCCACAACCTTAACCATTTGTATGTCATAAGTGTCTATAGACACAAGTGGCAGACCTTTTTAAGTTAAATTAAAAATATTGTGGCAGTTAACTGGTTAAAGTTTCTTACTCCTAACCTTATTATCTTTTTGTCAGATTCTCTCACCCTGGATAGTGTTTTATGTAGCGTACACCCGTAGGTGCTGTGTCTGGCTGGCTGACTGATATTTGGCTGCCCACTGAGTTTTAGCCCCTAACATTATATAATGAAAAATATTAAACGTACAGAAAACATGAAAGAAATGCACAGTGAACACCCTTACACTCACCACCTAGATTCTACAATTAACTTTTTGCTATATTTGCTTTATTATTTACTCATAATTCATCCCACTGGGTTCTTCTTGTCCTTGGGAACTCCATGAAGATACCATTTATGTTGTCCTTTCCTTCCCTCCCTAATACCCCTATACATGGAAAACTTGTACAAAAGCTACGGACCACAGGCTATATTTGTATTTGGTTTTCTAAGTTTTCCTTATTCTTTTCCCTTGGCTGACTCTGACCCAGAGTAATAGGAGTAACTATTCTTCTCTGTTCTTAGAGAAAGCTTTTTGCCTGTATTGACCAAGGAAATGGTTTGCTGCCAATCCTCAGGACAAGAGAACGCCAGCCTTAGATTAAATAAGAGTTTAAGTCCTTGAGGCTATTTCCCTGTGGATGTTGACGGTGAAGTCACTCTTGAATTAATATAAAGTCAAAGCAGTTTAGATTTTTCAGGCTGTAACTAGTTTTTAGGATCCTTGGTCCTGACAGAGAGGGTAGGACAAATAAAGCAAAACTTTAACCCTAGAATTATCACACATTTGCAGTGTTACTCCTTTATTGGTATCATAAATATCACTAACTAAGATTATGGGGCTTTGTGGCTATAATCTTCTCTTTGGGTTATGTTTTCTTTTCAACGACAGAATTAAATAGGTCTGAAATGGGCAGTGACACAGGCTTCTGGGATCTCTTTCTTGCAACAGGAAAGGTGTTAGCTGTATCTGCCATTGGAGGCAGGCAGCAGACCACCCACATTTAATCCAATAGCTGAGCTTGGTTATTGGGGCCCATAGAACCCCTATTCTATATCAGAATGCCTGTCCTCTGGGGCAGCGGTCGCCAACCAGTGGTCCGTGGACCACTGGTGATCCATGAGGTTCGAAAAGTTGGTGACCACTGGTTTAAGGCAACCTTTGGAGCAGTGGTTGCTCCTGGACCGCTGCTCTAGGACATATGCATAGTACCCTACCGTTGCAAAATACAGGAGTGTGTTCTGAACTTTGGACGGGTAGAATATCCCTGGGAAGCACTACCTCTTTACCACCACACCAGCCCTAACTTGGCTAAACCCATCTGTTTGACTTTCAGGGTCGAGCATGCACGCATGCATGCCAAACACCGTGGTCACGAAGCCATGCATGCCGAAATGGTCCTCATCCTCATCGCTACCTTGGTGGTGGCCCAGCTGCTCCTGGTGCAGTGGAAGCAGAGGCATCCTCGCTCCTACAATGTAAGCCATTTTGACTCTCTCTTCTTTGTCTGCCAGTAATCAAGAGACCCTTCCTAAGTATTCTAGGATCCAGCCTAAGCCAAGACACATGTAGGCAGAGAATGGACAATAATAATGAACTTTATGTATGAATGGTGAATTGTGTATGGTGGGTGTGTGTTTAAGGTGCAAGTGATTCAGAGGGTGAAAACAGGGATAGAACCTGAGACCATTTTTATGGCCAGGAAAGGTAGGCACTTCCTTTTAAATATTTTGGGACATATTCATGAAGGAGATATTCATTAGGAACTATTGAAATAGAGGGAGAGAAGTGATCACTTGACTGGGAAGGTGACGCCTCCAATAAATCTTACAGGTAGGATTTAGATTAATTTTTTTTAAAAGGCAGTATGGAGGAAATAAGGAATAAAAACATAAAACATACAGAGAAATACTCATAAATGACAGAAGTAAATCCTTCCTTATCAGCAATTACTTTAAATATAAATGGATTAAATTCTATTAAAAGATAGAGATTAGCAGATTGTATTAAAAAACCCCACTATGATTCATTTATATATTGTCTGTAAGAGACACACTTTACTTATTTATTTTATTATTTATTTTATTTTTTGTTAATCCTCACCTGAGGATATTTTTTTCCATTGCTTTTTAGAGAGAGTAGGGGGGAAAGGAGGGTGTGGGGCGGGGGGAGAGAAACATTGACGTAAGAGAGACACATTGACTGGTTGCCTCCCACAAGTACCCTGACCAAGGCCGAAAATCAAACCTATAACCTAGGTATGTGTTCTTGACTGGGAATCGAATCTGGGACCCCTTGGTGTGTGGACCGATACTCTAACCACTGATCAATACCAGTCAGGGCTATAAGAAATTCACTTTAGATACAAAAGACACAGAGATTGAAAGTAAGAGGATGGAAAAAGATATTCCATGTATGCCAACAAATTAGACAACCTAGAAGAAAATGGGTGTATTCCTAGAAACATAATCTTTCAAGACTGAATTATGAAAAAACAGAAAATCTGAATATACTGATTACTAGTGAGGAGATTGAATCAGTAATAAAAAAATCTCCCAAAAAACAACAGTCCAGGACCAGACGGTTTCACTGGTGAATTCTATCAAACATTCAAAGAAGATTTTAGTAGCTATTCTTCTCAACCTCTTCCAAAAAATTGAAGAGGAGAGAATGCTTCTAAACTCATTTTACGAGGCCAGCATTACCCTGGTACCAAAACCAGACAAATATACTACAGAAAAATAAAATTACAGGCCAACATATTGATGAACATAGATGCAGAAATCCTCAGCAAAATATTAGCAAATCTAATTCAATAATACAGTAAAAAGATCATGCATCGTGATCAGGTGGGATTTATTCCAGGGGTGCAGGGATGGTCCAGCATCCACAAATTAATCATTGTGATATACCATATTAACAAAATGAAGGATAAAAATTATATCATCTTGATAGATGAAGAAAAAACTTCTGACAAAATTCAACATCTGTTTAAGATTTAAACTCTCAGCAAAGTGGGCATAGGAAAAAAATACCTAGACAAAATAAAAGCCATTTATGTCAAACCCTCAGCAAATATAATATCATTGGTAAAAAGATGAAAACTTTTTTTCTATGATCAGGAACAAGACAGGGATGCCTATTCTCACCACTTTTACTCAACATAGTATTGGAAGTCCTAGTCAACGCAGTTAGGCAAGAAAAAGAAATAAAAGCCCCAGCCAGTTTGGCACAGTGGATAGAGCATTGGCTCATAGACTGAAGGAAGGGTCGCAGGTTCGATTCTGGTCAAGGGCCCATACTTTGGTTGCAGGCTTGATCCACGTGCGGGAGGCAATCAATCAATGTCTCTCTCTCACATTGATGTTTCTCTGTCTCTCTCCCTTCCTTCCATTCTCTCTAACAATCAATGGAAAAATATCATTGGGAGAGGATTAACAAAAATAAAATAAAATAAAAGAAATAAAAGGCATATAAATTGGAAAGAAATCTGTCATTATATATATGTGTGTGTGTGTGTATATATATATATATACACATATGTGACATAAATTATATATAGAAAACCCAAAAGACTCTGCCGAAGAAATACTAGAACTAGTAAATGAATTCAGTAATGTTAAAAGGATACAAAATCGATATACAGAAATCTGTGGTGTTTCTATATATTAACAAGTTCTCAGAAAGAGAAATTAATAATCCCACTCATAATTACATCAAAGAGAGTAAAATACCTAGGAATAAATTTAACTAAGGTGGTGAACGACCTATACATTGAAAAGTATAAGACTGATTAAATAAATTGAGGAAGACACAAGTAAATGGAAAAATACTCTGCTCATGGATTGGAAGAATTGATATTGTTAAAATGTCAATACACAAAGCAACCTACAGATTTAGTGTAACCCCTAACAAAATTCCAGTGACATTTTTCGAAGAACTAGATAAAGAATTCTAAAATTTGTATGGAATTACAAAAGATCCTGAATAGCCAAAGCAATCTTGAGAAAGAATATTGAGAAAGAACAAAACAAAGAACAAATCACACTTACTGATTTCAAATTATACTACAAATCTGTAGTAATCAAAACAGTATTGTATAGACATAAAAACAGACACTCAGATCAATGGGACAGAATTGAGATCCTAAAATTAAACCCACACATATATGGACAATTAATTTACAACAAAGGAGCCAAGAACATACAGTGGAGAAAGGACACACACTTTAATAAATGGTGTTCGGAAAGCGACTGCCACATGGAAAGAATGAAACTAGACCACTATCGTATACCAGGCAAAAAAATTAATTTAAAATGGATTAAAGACTTGAATATAAGACCTGTAATTATAAAATTCCTAGAAAATAACATAGTTAGTGAGCTCCTTGATACTGGTCTTAGCAATGATTTTGTGGATATGATTTAAAAGGCAAGGGAAACAAAAACAAAAATAAATGGGATTACTTCAAACTATAAAGTTTCTGCATAGCAAAGGAAACCATCAGCCAAATGGAAAGGCACCCTAGTGAATGGGAGAAGATACTTGAAAATCTTACATCTGATATTGAAAATATATAAAAACCTCATACAACTCAGTAACATAAATCAAACAACCAATTAAAAAATGGGCAGAGAATCTGATTAGACAGTTTTCCAAAGAAGACATACAGATGGCCAACGGGCGCATGAAAAGATATTTAACATCACTAATTATGAGGCAAATGCAAATCAAAACCACAATGAGCTATCACTTCATATGTGTTACATTGACCATTATAAAAAAGAAAGATAAGAAATAACAAGTGTGGCCCTAACCAGTTTGGCTCAGTGGATAGAGCATCGGCCTGCGGACTCAAGGGTCCCAGGTTTGATTCCGGTCAAGGGCATGTACCTTGGTTGCCGGCACATCCCCAGTTAGGGGGTGTGCAAGAGGCAGCTGATCGATGTTTCTCTCTGATCGATGTTTCTAACTCTCTATCCCTCTCCCTTCCTCTCTGTAAAAAATCAATAAAATATATTAAAAAAAGAAAAAAGAAATAACAAGTGTGGGAGAGGATATGGACAGAAGGTAATCTGCCTGGCTGGTGTGGCTCCGTGGTTGAGTATTGATCCAGGAACCAAGAGGTCACTCATTAGATTCCTGGTCAGGGCACATGCCCGGGTTGCGGGGCTCGCTTCCCAGTTGTGGGGTGTGCAGGAGGCAGCTGATTGATGATGTTCCTCTCTCATTGATGTTTCTCTCTCTCTATCCCTCTCCCTTCCCCTCTCTCTAAAAAAAATCAATAAAAACATATTAGAATAGTGGTTCTCAACCTTCCTACTGCCTCGACCCTTTAATACAGTTCCTCATGTTGTGGTGACCCCCAATTTCATTGTTACAAATTGAACATAATTAAAGCATAGTGATTAATCACAAAAACAATATGTAATTATATATGTGTTTTCCGATGGTCTTAGGTGACCCCTGTGAACGGGTTGTTTGATCCCCAATGGGGTCGCGACCCACAGGTTGAGAACCGCTGTATTAGAGAGAGAGAGAAGGGAACTGTATTATACTATTAATAGGAATGTAAACTGGGTGCAGCCACTATAGAAAACAGTAAGCAGATTCCTGAAAAAAAGAATAGAATTACAGTATGACCCAGCAATTCCACTTCTGGGTTTTATCTGAAGAATACAAAAACACTGATTTGAAATGATATATACACCCCTATGTTTATTGTAGCATTATTTACAATAGCTAAGAAATAGAAACAATGTAAGTGTCCATCTATAGATGAATAAAGAAGAAGTGGTACATATATACAATGGAATACTATCTCTATATATAAAGCCAACCGACCAGAATGACTGGTAGCTATGACGTGCACTGTGGCGGCCAACTGCCCTGATCGGGGCTCTTATCAGGCCCCCTCTCCCAACCTCCTGTGGCCCCCTCTGGCTGACTCAGCCCCCAATTGGCCCCTTCACCCCGATCGGGGGCAGGGCTGGCTGGCCAACCTCCCGTGGCCCCTCCCCCCCAGCCGGCCCCGCCCCAATTGACCCCGGATTCGTGCATGAATTCATGCACCGGGCCTCTAGTTTAGTCCTAAAAAGGTGAAATTTTCCCATTTGAGACAGTGTGGGTGGACCTTGAGGATATTATGCTAAGTGATATAAGTCTGATGAAGAAAGACAAATACTATATGATTTCACTTATGTGGAATCTAAAAACAAATAAAATACAACAAAAACAAACTCTTAGATACAGAGAACAGATTGGTGGTTTCCAAAGGGGAGGAGGGTTGGAGGTGGGTGAAGAGGTGAAGGGGGTCAACTCTAGGGTGATGGATGGTAACTAGATTTTTAGTAGTGATCACATTGTAGTGTATACAGATGTTGAAGCATAAAGTTGTACACCTGAAACTTATATAATGTTATATGCTGATATTATATCAATAAAAACAATAAGTATCCTTATCCCAAATAAATATATT